TCTGTATGCAAAATGTCTCAATTTTCTTAATAGTTTTTTTTTTTTTTGCCAAAACTGATTCAATCCAGGCTCACTCATTTAATTGTCATACTTTGTATTCTTCTTTAACCTGGGACAGTTCCTCAGTCTTTTTCTTTCTTTCTTGATCCTGACAGTTTTGATGGTTATAAGCTAGTAATTTTATAGAATTCCCTTCAAGGTGGATCTATGTGATGTTTTCTCATGGTGAGATTCATTGTATGAATTTATGACAAGAATAAGTGGTTGATTTTTTAAACCCCAGAATACCTGCCTCTGCCCAGGGCTCCCTTAACTTTGACCAGACATTGTATATAGCTGTAGGGGGGTGAGGTTTTCTTGCAAAATTTAGGTTGTATTAGTCAGTTTTCTATTGCTATGACAAAATACCTGAGATAAATCAAATTGAGGAGGAAAAGTTTACTTTGGCTTATGGTTTCAAAGTCTTCAGTCCATGGTTACTTGGCCCCATCATTTGGGCCTGATGGAAGTCTCAACATCATGGTGGAGAGCACACAGTAGAGCAAAGTTGCTTGCCTCATGGCTACCAGGAAGCAGAGAGAGAGGGAGAAGGGTTAGGGACAAAATATACCCTCAAAGACATGCCTCCAATGACCTGCTTTCTTCAATGAAGCCACTCCTCCTAAGGTTTTCACCACCTTCTAACAGTACCCCAGTTGGTGAAAAAGCCTTTAACATATGAGATTTGGGGGGACATTCCAGACCAAAACTACATTAATTTTTCTTTGCTTCTTCCTATGATCCCTAATTTAGTTATAAGGATTGATAAAATCCTTGAGCATGTCTGCTTCTTGGGGAGTTTAGACTTAACTGAAACCTTATGTTAATTCCTGATGTATGTCTCCATTCACCCATGGACTAGTGTCTGCTTTATTATGATGGTGATGCATAAATCACCTATCAAGGTGAATAAATGACTGACAGGGATAAATAATGACAAGAAGGTGGTAAGGCCATTTTTCTCCTCTATTTTTTTTGTATTTTATTCTTTTGTCTTTATTTCTTTTATTTGTCTCCTCTTCTAAATAAGTACATTTGCAATCCAATCTCTAAGGAAAGTCAACCACATAGAATCCTCAAAGCAAGAGCTTTAACCAAGCCCTAGTGCAAAGGAGGTCAAGGCTTTAGTGAGGTTTGGAGTTTTGACTGCCTATTCAGTTCCTGCTCCCTCATGCTGACATGGATTATCCAAGGCTATCACAAAGTGGAAGGAGAAGGAAGTGTGGGAGAAAAGAATGGGTGGAGAAGACTTCCAAGAAGTGGCAACTTTGTAAAGGTTAGCACCCAGCACTTAATTCATTTCAGCTTGGAAATGACCCCTTTGTACAGCTTGTTCTTCCAGAGAGAGAGATTAAAATGCTGTCTTGCCTGCTTTTAGTGGTGTGGTAATTAAAACAATTAATCCTAGGTCCTAAATAATGTGGCTCAATTTATATGGTAGAAGAGAGAGTGGTCCTCCTTCATCTGCTTCTACTCACTGAAGATCACATCCAAGAAAATGAGCAAATTCCTATATTTTACTTCCACACATAGGGTCTATTTAGAGAGAGGAAGGGATTATTAAGGGGGAAAATAGAATCTAAAGTTTCTATTTCCCTGAAACTGAGAAGCAAGCTTATTTAGAGATGTTACTAGCATAGCTCAAATGCAAAGTTAGTTGATTAAAATAATATTTTTTGTGCATTTAGAATGTGCTGGGCCATTCCTTAGGAGCTCTACATAGCTTGTCTCATTTAATATTCAGTATATTATATGAGTTGGATAGCATTATGATCATTAGTTGGATCATTATTATGATCATATCCTGTTTTTCAGATGAAGAAGCTGGAACTGGGAAAAGTGAAGAAATTGGCCAAGATCAGTTAAAAGTGGAGGCAGTATTTCAACACAGGTAGTCTGGCCCAGAGCCCATCACTCAACCAGTGTGCCATTGACATTCCAGCTTTCAATTTGCCTACAGTCTAATAGTTGCCATAAGACAACTAAGAGATGAATACATTCCAGATGACTGGGTTGGCCAGAGAAAATTTCACAGAAGGCAGGTTTGAACTAAACCCTCAGAGGTGGATAGAGAGGTCAATGTGGAGAATTCTGACAGCCTGATATTGATTGGCCAGGGCACAGGATCACTGCAGGGACAAAGCGATTGGACCTGCTACACCCTCCCCACATCCTTTGGGCCACCAGTGTTTCCTTGGGTCTCCATGGGGTTAACTGAAAAGACTGAACCTACCCCTGGCCATACCAGCCTAGTTACTGCTCTTTCTATCCCAGCTTCACTTCTTGGAACTAGGTAGTTTAGTTTAACTCAGGGTGTGGCAGTGGAAAGCCATACCACATTCTCCAATTTAGCTTAACTATGAGCAAAGCTATCTTGATTTTCCTCTGGCTTCTTGTCTGTTCTGAACTTGGATGAAAAGATGAGCAATTGACACCCTCAAAATTTCAACAATGGGAAAGTAATAGAAAATTCAATTTAAAAGGCAAATTAGACATGGCAGACCAAGGAGATCAATAAAGGGTGGTATAAGAAATTTATCCAAAGCCTAAAAAAATCATTTTATAATTCTCTGTGCAAGTACACATACCATGTTTCTCCATATAGGAAAACATTCTGGGATTTGTTTCCAAATTAATCTTTAGAAATATAATGTCACAAAATCCCCCTTTTTTTGTACCAGAGTCTGAACCCACAGCTGCCTAACCACTGGGCCACATCTGTAGCCCTTTTTATATTTTACTTAGAGACAGGGTCTCACTAAATTGTTTAGGTTCAATCCTTAGCACCACATAAAAAACGAAATCCCCATTTTTATACAAAGAAATTTGCCAAGAACCGTAAGTCTTTTTTTTTTTTTTTTGGTACTGCAGATTGAACCCAGGGGTGCTTTACCACTGAGCTACATCTAATTTTCTTTTTTTTATTTTGAGACAAGGTCCTGCTACATTGCTGAGTCTTGCTAAATTGCTGAGGCTGGCCTCAAACTTGTAATCCATTTATTTCAGCCTCCTCAGTCATTGAGATTACAGGCATACACCACCATATCAAAAGGAACTTTAAGTCATTTCCAAAAGTCAAACTAATATATTATCACGTCTTTGAATCATTTCTCTTCTCCCCAAATTGATGTTTTTCAAGCATTGCTTGATGACCAAAGAACATGTCAGTCTGTTTGGAAGGCTTTAATGATCTGACAAATACTGTTATTATTTGGAAACAATTTTTTCATACTTCTTCCCAAACAGTGCACCTCAAATGACAGCCTCTCAATTGATCTCAGTGTTAGGCAGTTTTTTATCATTAATATTTATGTGTTTATATTTGAATGTAAATTTGAAAATAATCTCCAATTTAAATATTTTATGTAAATATATAAGTATAGAAATTAGTTTTGACATCAAATCTGAAGACAATTGCCAACTATTAGCAAATGGACAAAAAAAACCTCTTTTCTCTAGGAATCAGGTTGCCATTATATTCTTTTTTTTATTATCAAATGACCTTGCATGAAAACAGGAAGAGAAAGATTTTTTTCTCCTTACTAAGCAAAACAGTTGTCCCAATCTCTGCAAAATATTTTCCCTATATCTCTGACCCTTCCAGAATAAAAGAAATGATAGCATGTTTGCTCTTCCACTTCAGGAGGGAAAGAAGCTGTAGGAAAATTACTTTTTTTCCACTTGTGTGATTTGAGAAAAAGCTACAACTCCAGCCTTTCAATGTGCAAGGAAAACAATACACACTTATTACACTGCTATCTGTGGGACCCAAATGTATTAAGTTAGGAGAAGATAACTCAGGAGAAAGATGAAATATATTTTAAATAAAATGTTACATTTGCTGCTTTTCTGTCTTCTGGAATTTAACCTCCACCTGACCCACCTCCAGGCTAATCACTTTGGCTCTCTTAGCACTTCCTTATAGTTATCTTCCCTTTTCTCCAAAATAAACTTCAGAACCATTTTTAATCTACATTTTAAAGTTTATTTGGCTATCTATTTATACACAACCATGTAAAAGAGTTTAAAGTGGTTTAAGAGGATCCATAACATACACCAAGAATCTAATAACAGATCAGGAAAGAAGCATATACACACACCAAAACAAAACTTAATACAGTTCTATTCATTTACTCTGGGTGGACTACAAATTTGGTCCTAAGCTTTCTAGTAGGTAATCGGAAAAGGCAAGTTAATTAGTTCATTTAGTGTCCATAAAACCAAAACAAACTAATCATACAAGTGGAACACTGTTATTTCTAATAGTAAGTCCAGACCAAAATTTCTCTTGAGAGGCTTCATTAACAGACCAGCACATGATGTTATAGTCAGTGTTCTCAACAGCAATCCAATGGGAGATGCAAAGATGAATTTCACAGGACTTCTTCTTGGATTCCTCAGAATAGGCAGATGGCATCACACCAAGTTGAAGATCAGGAAAAACACTGTTATTGTGAATTTGACAGTTTTGGGAGTGTCCAGTATGATGTAGTCCAGATAGTCCACTCTTTAGCTAGGCAAAATCAGGGATACATTTTACAATCATTCCAGTCCTCATGATGGTTTTGGAGAAACTGCAAAACGTCCAACACTGTATATGCAATGTTTAGGAATAAGGTGAGTGTGTTTCTTCTTGACAGAGAAAAGACGGCTTGTTGGATCCCCAAAAGTCCACAAATCACTCAGAAAGGTTAAGAACAGATTAACATTAAACAGGTTATAGAAATAAACAGACCAAAAATTCTGCATGCTATTCTGAATACTTATTTTTTTTCATCTTAGCCTAAGTTTACCCCTTCTCTGCAAAAAGAACCTTTTTTGTTTCCATTTAATCCACGGCTTGGGCGGGTGCTCCTGGGTGGTGAGAAGCTGTCTCTTGGCTGGTGCTAGAAACTCAGGCGCATCTTGATGTTAGGGGAACACAGAGGAGCCGCTCCAAAGCCGCCGGGCCCCGGGGGCTCCTAGTTACCCTTGAGTGTGAGCTTTCTGAAGAGATACTCGCCCAGACCAGCATCCTGGCCGGCCAGCCTGCGAAGGTTGGTCAGATGCTCACCCATCTTTTTGATGAGTTGCACTTCCTGGTCTAAGAAATGGCTCTCCAGGAAAAAGCAGAGTTGGGGGTCTGTGTTAGCCAAACCCAGGGCATGCAGATCCAAAAGGGCCTCGTTCAGATTCTTCTCCAGGATCAGGGCAGCTTCCATGGCTTCCAGGCAATCATGCCACTCATCTTGGGTCAGCTTCTGCCCATCCTGGCAGAGGGAGCGGTCGCTCACCTGGTTTTGCCTCAGGAGGCGATGGGCACCTTCTCGCTTTTCCTCAGCCAACCTGAAGAAGAAACCGCCCTCTAGAGCCACACGGTTTCCTTCGAAATAGAAGCCCAGAGAGAGGTAGGTATAGGAGGCCTGCAGGTGCATGCTGATCAGGCGGTCGAGGGCAGCCTGCACCTTATGGGTATAAACTTGGTGGCCCTGGGTGCTCATGGCTGCGTGGCAAGACGGAGCAGACACAAAATATGATGCTGGCTCGTCCCGGAAGCAGGGGAAAGTTGAGGAGATATACCGGAAGTTGTGAGTAAAGAGGTGGGGCTAGAGGCTGGTGTGACGTTGGGGGTAGGGTTAAGGTTTTTTTTTTTTTTTTTCCCTGCCGTTCTGAGGATTGAATCCAGGGAGTCTCTACCACTGACCTACATTCCTAGCCCCTTTTTTGTTTTTAGTTAGTTAGTTTGTTTGTTTGTTTGTTTTGAGACAGGCCCTCGCTTAACTGTTCAGGCTGGCCTCCAATTTGCAATCTTCCTGCTTCAGCCTCCTAAATTGCTGGGATTACAGGTGTGCACCACCACATTTTTGATAGGTAGGTGGGATTACAGGAGACTCAGTCTCTCAGTTTACTTTCTGATAAGAATTTAATCCTTTCTTCTTTCATAATTATTGGAAAGGAGTCCTTATTTGTTATCTGACCCATATTTAACTATGATTCCAAGCTGAGGTAAGAATGTCAAAAAGTATTACAGTGAATTCCCTCTGAATCTTTGTTTGTGACTTAAATTCTCTTGTTTCTTAATTGAGAACCTATATTTCAGTGTTTTTTTTTTTTTCTCCTGCCTCTGGTCACTCATTGTCTCAATGATTAGCCATTAATCCCAGTTTGCCTAGGGCAATCCTGTCGTCCTGGTGTAATTATTAATGTAACCCTTTTCTCTCTCAAAAGTGTTCCTGTTTAGAATACATATTACATGGGCACCTTTCTGATTCAAAAGGACAAAACACACTAAGGAATGTGACATGAATAGAATTTGTGAAACATTGAACTTAGGCATAATTTATTTTCATTTTATTAATCATAGCAGAGCTCCCATTATAAATTTTCTATTCATCTATTCATATTTTATATCTTTTTTTTGTACTTGGGATTGAACCCAGGGGTGCTCTACCACTGAGCCACATTCCCAGTCCTTTTTATTCTATTTTGAGAAAGGGAATCACTAAGTTGCTGAGGGATTCACTAAATTGCTGAGTCTGTCCTTGAATTTGCGATCCTACTGCTCCAACCTCCTGAGTCTCTGGGATTAAAAGCATACACCACCAAGCCCAGTTTGCTTTTTATTTAGTGATGAATTCATTTCTTCTAGAAAGTTCTATGGAATATCATATATACCAGGTGTTTTGTTAGATACTGCTGTCTTGTGATTCCAGAAATTCCACCATTAACTGAAACATCATATAAACAGCATGAGAGATGAAAAACATCAATTTATAAAATAGAATGGTCATGGAGGATGTTAGCTTTTCCCTATTGGAAGAGAGGGGCAGGACTAGATATTCTCATAGGGTCTCTTCCAGCTTTGTGATTCCATGCTTACCATTTTATATTCTTAAGTACCATTTGCCTAGGGCTGTTTCACAATTACAACATTTTCATTTGTTTTCTATCAAACAGGAAATCATATTCTATTCAGGGTAAACAAGATTTGAACCCCAGAGAAGAGAGCTTTGCTCTAAACTTTGGACCTAGTTCTAAATGAAAGTAAAAATCAATTCTTTTGCAGCTACTTTCAGATTTTATTTTCGGTTGCTGAAAACCGACACCTTAAAATTTCAAAAAAGCAGCCTATAGTTTCCCTTTACTGCTTAAGCAAAAATATGAACACATATCCTGTATTTTAAACACAGGATTTTTTTTTCATGGAAGGTTGTTGTCCAAATGTGTTCTCGTATTGCATTTGAGGTTTGCAAAAACTGCTAGAATTCAGGAATAGCCACATTTTTCAGTCCTTGAGGGAATTGAATAAAACAAAAGTAGTTCTGCAGCCTTCTTGGCCTTGGTTATATTGCAAAAAAGGGGGGCTAGGACTGAACAGGAAGAGGAAAAACAGAAATTCAAACCCAAGAATAACCTAGCAAGTGGCCAAATAGGATGGAAATTACAGAAGATGCAATACTTTGCAAAGGGCTGCAAAGAAAATGATCATTTTCTATCTTGCGCATGAACCATTAATCATCATATTGGCCTTGTAAGAAAAAAATGCTAAGCCTACAGAAAACTTCACCATATAAAATATTATCTGTATCATAACATGTCAGGCTCATTTACTATATTTCAATTTCCTATACATTTCCTTATTTCTCTTGGTAAAGAAAAATGTCTGTGTAAACCTTCCCAGATGAGATAGTTTTCTGCTTTGTGCAAATGTTGACAAATCTTTCCTTCATCACTTTGGAGAAAAGGGGGCCAGCATCAGAGTCACACTCTAGTGGGTGGTTAAGTACCTTGTTGTCAGAATCAGACTGAAATGGGCTTAAATCCCAGCTTTGGCATTCAACCATGAGTGCAACCTGAGGCAGATAGCATAACCTGTTTGTTTGAACCTCAACTTTCTTGCCTGTCAAATGGGAATGTTAATATCTCATGAGTGTACTACAAAGATTAAATGATATAATGCATGAGAAGACAGTGTCAAATGAGTAAAAGGAGCTAAGAAATGACATATTGGTTTTACAATAAAATTGTGAAGAGCCTCTGAAACCCTAAGAAGTATCAGGAGCAGATACCAATATGTTTTTGATCCAAGTTTCCTCACTATAGACCGGTTTGCCTAAATCATTTCTGTGACTTTTGAGCAGGAAAGCAGAGAGGCGCAACTTGGATGTCCAAAATCCAACTCACTTGAAACATGAGCAAGCTTTTCTTCCTTCTGTTGGCTAAACGTGCTTCCACAGCATCTCCTGAGGTACTTTGTGGCAGTTTTATAGCCCAAGGTCATTCCCAGTTACAACAAGAAACATCTCATGGCTTCCTACCTCGTAGGAAATGGTAAGATTCTGGAACACTTCGTGCAACTAATAGAATTCACCGCTCCTTCAACTCAAATGTCGAACTTGGAATTCGTATGTGTTCAGTCTGATTCTCCAGAAGCAGATACTGATATGAGGATTCTTGTATAACTGATTTATGGGGAAAGTGCTCCGAAAGAGACAAAAAAAAAATGCATAGGGATTGCAGGACAGAGAAAGAAAGGAAGTCAAGATGTAAGGCTGCAATTTCAGGAAAAGTCTCAGCTTTTTCCTAATCCTAAGGTGGAGGTCCGGAGTATAAGTTACACCAAGAATTTATTTCAGCATGAGGCAAGGGATTTGGGCTTTCCTATTCCTTCCCATTGACTGGGCTTACCTAGGGTGATATAAACTCCCAGAGTCTATATATAGGTAAGACAACTCCATTAAACAAAGAGCAAGGTGCCAAAGAAGGTCACAGGTGCCAATCATTATCAGAAAAGCACACTGACCCTGGGTGCAGAGCACACCAAACTAATGGAAGGGATCCAAGTAGATTTGGGCAGGGCATGTCCAGTATCCAGCACCAGCTTGCTATACTGATTGACCTTGGGAGGTCTCAGAATTCAGTGGTAATGAGGAACTTTAATCAGAACCTTTATACCAGGAATCTAATGAATAATATACTTTATCATAGGTATTAATCCACATTTGTTCCTCTTTACTGCTTCTATTTACAGGGGATACAGGGCTTGGGGTGCAATCTTAAACATCTGCAATCTCCTTTGTCATCCCTGAAAGTCTATCATCTTCTTCAAGGGTTTCTTTTGCATATACACCAGCCAAATCAAGCCCAAGGCTTCAGGTAAGAAGACATTTGCATCTTTTATCTGACCCTTTACTCTGATTGACAGCATTCCCCATAGTGGAACCACATATTGATTTTTTAATAGCTCACATAGTACTTAAAAGTCAAAACATCCTAGCAACCCAGAAACTGACAGGCTGTGAAGTGACTGCTTAAGGGCCTGTCATCCAAACCGAATTCACCTGAAAACTGATGTTACACAAACAGCAAAATGGTCTCTGCATGCTTCTCATTTTTCTGAAAGGAACTATAGGGGTACAGAGTTTAGTTCTGAGCTGTTTATCTATTTTGGACAAGCAACTGCTTGGCAGCAGGAACAGTTATGAAATAGGAAGAGCTACACACACACACACACACACACACACACACACACACACCCTCCTCCTCACCCCACCTGTGCCCTCCATTAAACTTAAGCTCGCCCACAGCCCACCCCAACAGGCCTGCCTCAGACCTACCCCTCCACACAAGCTTCCCACAGGCACCTCAAGCAAACAGTGCTTCTCAGCTGGGTTTGATTTTGTGGCCCAAAGAAAGAATTCTCCAGGCCAAAATGTCAATAATGCCAAGGTTCAGATATGGGTTTCCTCAAAAATAGACTCTGAGACAGGGCCTTGAGAACAACTATTTCATTTTGGAGGTGATCCCTGAAAGTACCAGTAAGGATTTGGGGAAATGAGACAGAAAGGTTGGAGAAAAGCAATAAAGGGTGTATTAAATAAAGGACAGGTGACCCCAGTGGGCAACTTGGATCCATTCCTGCTTCCGTCATCTTGTTTGGGATAGCTCTGAAAGCAGAAATATTTGTCTTCTGGTTAGTATCTGTCATTAGCTAGAGTGTGCTTCCAAGGATATTAACTTTCTGGCACTTCCGGCCTACACTGTGAGAATGAATCAAAGGAAAACCCTGAGGTAGAGAATTTGGGGTGCTTATAACAAGTCTGCATGGCATGTTTGAGAATGGTGAATGATGAGGGGACTATGTAGGGTACCAACAACATCTGCTGGGTTTAGTCTTCTAGGAAAATGTCATGGGATATATCTTCAGTTCCTTTTTTGAGGATAATGCCTTAACTGAAAAAGTAATTCTAATTATAAACATGGTAGATGTCCTAGAAGACATGTAAGAGTAGCAGGTTTTAGTTAGCGAGGCCTTATTTGAACATGTAGTTGGAAGGATTCTTAGAAACCATGTGTTCCAGTTCTATAACACTACACAAATCCCCCTAGGAACATCACTGCTGGGCACAATGGCATTTGCCTATAATCCCAACTTCTGGGGAGCCTGAGGCAGGAGGATTGCAAATATGAGGCCAGCCTCAGCAACTTAGCAAGACCTGTCTCAAAATTTAAAAATTAAAAAGTTGAGGGTGTATCTCAGTGGTAGAGCATTCCTGGGTTCTATCCCTAGTTCTGCAAAACCAAACAACCC